CCCCCCCCCCCCCCCCCCCCCCCCCCCCCCCCCCCCCCCCCCCCCCCCCCCCCCCCCCCCCCCCCCCAAGAGAAGAAGAACAACAAACCTTTTCGGGATTGGTATTCTTCTGGGCCAGGTTCATGGTGCGCGACGACGAGGCCATCATGTGCGTCATCCGGTTCATGGCGTTGTTGGCCTGGATCTGGGCGGACGAGAGCTCGGCCATGTCGGCCATCTGGTCCATCTGGGCGGCGAGCGCCTGCTTGGAGAGCAGCATCTTTGCCTTTTGGTAGGCCTTTTGCGTCTCGCCCTTCTTGAGCAGGTCCTGGATCTGCTTCTTGAGGATGGGATCCTGCTTGGCGGCCTTTTGGGCCTCGCGCCGGGCCTGTTTCGCCTGGAAGCGGGCTTGGAACTCGACTTGCATGTCGCGGGCGAGTTGGCGGTTAGACATGATGGCGGGAGGATATTCGGGGTTGATCGGAGGCTTCAGGGAGGGAGTTGGAAGGGTGATTTAGAGGTGTTGGAAGATGCCGAGATGGGAGGATTTGGTGATGGTTTTTTTTTTTCCCCTTCTTCTTTCTTCTTCCTTGTTTAGAGATTCAAATGGACCAAGTTCGGAGAGGGTTGGATCAAGTCAGGTGGCGGATAAGGCGGGGTGACGCAACAAGAAAATCGACAAGCACCGCCACAGATGGCAATGCAGATTTGGACATCACCAGCCACACTTGAACCATTTTGAATCCATGATGCGTTCACTCGATGTAAGTTGAGCTGATGGACTACTAATCTATATCGTGTCTACGTCCACATCTTCAGCGCAGGCGTTCCTATTCGAAGAATTGATTCGATAACCACATTTTTTTTTGAATACATGATCTCTTACAAGGCCGTCAGAATGGCTGCAAACACAAAGCTAAACGTCCAGTCGTTTCCTCGCCCGCCGCGGCTGGAAAAGATGCCTCGGCATGTCCGCATCACGTACAAGAACATCGAGATTGCCGATACGAAGGATGCGTTTTGGGTGCTGGAAACGCATCATTCGCCAAGTGCGTTTCCTCTGTGTGAATCAATTGAAATCTCCATCAAAATGAGAAACTGGCCATCGTGATGGTTGGCGGTGATGATGGCGTCAAATTGTTCAGTTGTGGACATCCTTCCAAGATCATCCATCAAAGCAAAAAAAAAACTAACCAGCTTCAACCCAATTTCCCAGCGTACTACCTCCCTCCAGCGTCAAGGTGCCTCTCAAGCCCACCGCCCGCTCCAGCTGGTGCGAGTGGAAAGGCGCAGCAACGGACTACAGCATCGCCCTCCCGGACGGCACCGTGTCCAACCGCATCTGGTCGTACAACAGGCCGACGTCCGGGTTTGAGCCCATCGGCGGGTACCTGAGCTTCTACGCTGGCCCGTGGGACTGCTTCGTCGACGGCGAGCGCGCAGAGCCTCAGCCGGGCGATTTCTACGGCGGATGGGTGACGAGCGAGATTCGAGGCATCGTCAAGGGCCGGACGGGCAATCTGGATCCCGTCGTCTGAGTCACACAGAACTGGGAGGACGGCGTCATCTTGAAACCGTGTCCTGATTGATAATCGCATAGGCTACTTGATACATGTGCACTTCAATACGAGGCGCGAGCGAGCCTTGGCGTGGCATGTTTGGGTTGGACGCTGCCTGGTAGGCAGATGTTGAAGTTTAATTGCAAACGCGTGGCACGGTGAGGCTTGGCTGGATATTGGCCCAGCTAGACCTGAGCCACGGGAAATTTCCAAATGTCTCGACACGGGCTTCTGGGGTGTGTTTCAGATGAAGCTTCTATTTCGATACGATTTCCAATGTAATTTTGGCGTCTTGTGCAAGGTAGGGCGATGATTCGGGTCATGGCCAGAATGAGTCGATATTGGATCGATAGTAACAGTATGGCGTGATGGAATGGGATACAAAGTATGCCCGCTGTATTGTTTGGGTGGTTAAACTACATGTATAGGTACAATTGCAATGAGCACAGCGACTTGAATGTTGCTACTAGGTAGTTGTTGACGGTTGAGTGTGAAACTATACCAGTATTGTTGGGCTTCAGAAACATTGAGAACCCAAGAGAGCATCCTTCTCTAAATCAAATCATCAAGGCACACCACAAAAAGCTTCTTTCAATTTCATCAAAAGTGTATCTTCGTCGTGATTTACTCTCGGCGACAAAAGCGATGCATCACATGTGACTTACACGCGTGGAGCATCAAGCCCAACTTTACGCGCCGCGACAAAACCTAAGGCTGTGGCGTCGTATACGGTATATCTCTAGGCCTATAGCCTGCACGTATGTTTTGATAGAGCACAACTCTAATTATAGGTTGGGCGAACATTAATAAATGTATGGAACAAAAGGTGGACTTGGCTTAGAACACCACAGCAACATACCTCAGGTACATGTAGGTATGTAACAGTGGCTGATTTACATTCTGTTGTGACGGCTGCTTGATGATGGTCATGCAAACCCATCATCACAAGATATGGTTTCAAACTCTTCATTGTCGTTGCTCAAGTCCATACTCGTAGTCGTCATGTTGCATCACATCCCACAAATAGTGGTACTCGAGTCAGTTTACGTTTACTGCCGGCAATCAGCTCGGGTTGAACCTCCACCAACTGGAACATGACGGAAGTCTGGCTCCAACGTCCATGTCCATGCAACAAGCGGTCTGCAGATAACAAGCAGCCAGGACAGGGCACCTTGCAGCAGCATCCTTCTGAATTCTGTTGGGCTCAGTTATATCATTCGGTTGCGCGTGCCCTTGCCGGCACCCCTCGAGCCCGTTCCTGATGCCCTCTACTCCATAGAAAGATGGACAAGCTACGGGAAGAATCCCAAAGAGAGCTCAACTGCCGTGCAAGTGCATCGTCTTGATTCTTGAATGCATTGGGGCGTCCAACGTGGCAAGCTCGCCTTGGGTCCAGCGCACAAGCTCCCCCCACAATTGAGCTTTTGGAGGAGACTGATTTTGCAGCATGTGAACGGGGTTCTGGATACACTCGTGGCTGTTGGAGTACGAATAGCTGCAGCTGTATGGTCGATCAAGGCTCACCGACCTGAACGCAGGCGGACGTGGGAACGCCCAACAAAGCCCAGTCAGTCTCTTGCTTCTCGCTCGCGAGCATCGACGCCTTCCTGCAGCTTCCACATCTCCACCGCATGCACAGAGAGAAAAAAACGCACAGGCATTGAAGACGAGGCACCGGCCTCCCCCGCCATGGTGTGCTTGGACATGTAAGGAGACTCGTACGAGTATAGTAATGGTAGCCGGTGGAAGCGGAAGTCCAGCCTCGCAGTGCTCATCTCCAGCCGTTACATTGTTTGACGGTGGTGAGTTGGGCTTCATCAAGTTGATAGTTGCGGTGAGAGAAGCATTAGATGGAAGTCGTGGATATTTCTTCCCCTCTTGTTCCTCACGACTCCATCATTGGTCTGCTGTGCATGTATTCCCCACGCGCGAGCGTTTTGGAGTGGGATGGAGATGCAGGACACGGACGATTCGACTTCCCCGCATGCAGCAGTGGTAGTACACAGACATGCGTGATGTGAGGGAAACGCACATGCTTCGGAGCATCTTCGTACTCGTATGTACTCGTACGAGTAGTAGTAGAAGATTCAATGCATGCATGCGTGGGACGAGACCAGAAACCGAGGGCTGCAGTTCTGCCCACTTGGGCGCCATTGCAGGAGAAATGGAATCGACGCCCTCTTTTTGCCTCCCACGTTGATTTTTTTTTTTTTTTTGATTTATGCAGTATGGAAGAAATAGCAGATGCCTAGCAAAAGAGAAGAGCCGAGCAATGGTCGGGTAAACTGCCAGTTGATAATGGCAGAATGGAGGCAATTCTCCCGGTTGGGTTACATTGGCCTCGATTTCATGTCCAACGTTTTGGAGGCCGGAGCTTTTACGGGCACGGTAGAGCGGCAAACAGAAGAGACGAGTGAAGTGTGAATCCGGGGGTCCGCGAGAGAAGGAGGCGGATCACCGGCCTAAATCAAGGGGGGAAGATGGAGGGAGGCAAGGAGGGTCCAGCCTGTTGCTAGTAGCTACTTACCTAGTAGTATTCCGCCGGCAGAAACATTGGATGCCCGGCATGGGTATGTGGTTTTTGACACCGGAATGTGTGAGGGCTGTCCTCAACTGCATGTATTGTGTTGATGTTCTTGTTTCTTCTACCAACTCCCATCAATGTTCCTGTACCTAATTCCTGGAAACGCTACATACATCCATCATCCATTGGCAACTCACTGATTTGCCTTGGTTTGACTGGAGGCGAGGGAAAAGGGGCCGCGCCAACGGCCCGCACTCCGAGATGAGATGCTATCGAGCACCGGCTGCCACACCAAAGCACTAGGTGCAGGCCTTGGTACGCATTCTCTCACTTTGCCTGAGCAGATAGGCCCGAAGCAAAAAGAAGCCCGCCTCCCCTTTCCGTCCATTGGCCTTTGAGCCTACAGTAAGAGCTACAGGAGTGGCAGTACGAGGGCCAGACCTGCTCAATGCAAGGCACAAGCCCGAGCGAGATGCCCTCTTCCATTGCCCTGTGCAGTATAGTAGCATCCGGCTGCTCTGTTCAATTCGAGGGGTATTTGCCTTTCCCCTCTTTTCTGCCTCTGCTCTCAATTCAATTCAACATACGAGTACATGTACAAGCACGATAGGCATTCAGTGCGTGCTTCAATTGATGCTTGTCCGCGCGCGACATCTGCCCTGGTCGGCTTCCCAGGCGAGATGCCAGCCAGGGTTTGCACGAACCCGCCGGTTCGATCGATGGGATTCTTCTCGCTTCTTTCCAGGTCCCTTGCCCTCCCCACCAAGAGTGAGACGGAATTTGGCATCTGGTGAGGAACCCCAAACAGAGCAGCTGCAGAGCGACTCCCGGGGCCCAAAGAGGCAGCAGGACAAGCAGTGAGACGAGAGCGGAAGAGCCATGTGGGCTACTGTACCGATTGCCTGTACAAGCAGTTTCCAACCCACACGGGATTGCTCATGTCATCGAGGGAACGGGGACTGTAGAAACGTCCCCCCAAAGCCATTCATTGGACGACAGCGGGAGGCGAGACGGTTGCTGCGTCTCAAGGGCTTACGCTGGTTCCGCAGAAACGGCGTCTAGTGATTACGTGAAGATATGGACTGAGTCTGTCTGAGACGGACGTTGCCCTAACAAGAAAACGAGGCATTGAACTGAACCAAGAGCCGGCTGTGCCTGTCGGAGCTCACCACGTATTGTTACATCTCGGCTCCGTCCATGTACAGGCAGCATTCGATGGGCGCTCTTAGTCTCGCGGTGGCGCTGGACAATAGCATGAGAATAGAAACAGAGTGGCGAATCGCATCTCGTAACTTGGAACTCGTACACCGTCTCCGGTGCTAGATGGTTTATCGCCCACCAAAAGAGTGGGAATGTGAGGATCCATCGGGTCCAACCCGCCCCTTTCTTTCTTCATTCTCCAGCTTCTCCTTTCTCCTCTTCTGTTAGCTACTGTACGATACGATACTGTATACTGTACGAGAAGAAGCACGGTGATCAACAACAGTCGAGAGCAGAATTGAGGCCTAACAACGGGCGAGGGATACCTCGAGATACCAATGGGAGGTGCCGGAGGAGCAGAGCGGCATGGCATCGCGCGAGGAGAAGCCCAACAAAACTCAACAGACGCACGTCGCTGCATGTACATCCTGTATACTGCACTGCACTGCACTGCATCCCATGTAGGTACATGTACTCAACATGTAGGTAACATGTCGCCTGTGCAGGACGAGTACAGCATGTACTTAGGACTGAAGCATCCCATCCCGGTACATACTTACAGGTATTACTGATTGGCATGCAGGTATGTCATGTTTTGGGCTTGTCTGTACGTGCATGTACGAGCACTGCACAGTAAAGCAGAGTAAGCAGAGCACATGCAACCATTGAGTTCAACAATCCTCCGTACTCGTACAGTACGAGCATGTAAGATGGGCGGGAATCAATGGCAATGGCTCGATAGTTCGATGCACGTGTCTCGGCGGTTCAGCACATCACTCAGTAACATTGAGGACAGGACGAATGAATATGGGGACCATTTGAAATTGGCTGGAATTACTTTCGGCCACTGCCTCATCCACGAGGTTCCGGGCCGCCTATTTGCATGGACCGTTGGAACGACTCGGTTCAGCCGGGAATCCTCTTTTTTGCCTGTTCCAATCATGGAATCCAATCCAATCTCAGCACACACACGGAGCGGAGGATTGGGAGCACGACATCCAGCATTGTGCCATCAATCCGTCCATCTGAATTCCAGCGCTCACCCGCTGTAACACGCACCATCTCGACCCCCCTGCAGCAGTCAGATTAGTGCCGGCCCACCCCCAGCCCAGTTCCAGCAGCCCCCCCCTGAGCCCCTCAACCCTGCCCCCTTCAGAGGCTTGGGAGGTCCTTCAGAGGGCCCTTCTGAAGCCCCGCCCGGTTCCAGGCTTAGCCCCGCCCAGAGGCCGTTTCGTCAAGGGGCGCCTTTCCCCCTGCCCATTTGCTGCCTCAGGCATCCAAGGCACCGCTCGTGCCACCAGCGAGGCCAACGTGTCCTCAAGATAAAGAGACCAGCTTCGCCGCCTTGAGCATGGATCTCGCCATTCCGACACCACCAAACACGAACAAGACACTCTGTCCTCTTCTGCCACTGACTCATCCAGTGAGCAGAGCCACGCCAGCCGCTGACTCACTCATCAACTGGCGCCGCTGGTTGCCTGTCATGTCACCGTGTAGGGACGCGCTTTGATTGCACTTGACATCTCCACTGCGCTGTGACAAAAGCAGACCGTTGCCCCCGGGACAACTTGGTTGCATCACAAGCAAGAAACACGCACATCAGCAGACGCAGACGAGGCAAAAGGCATCAAAGAGAGCGTCCTACCAAAAACAGCAAGTCCAAGACAAGACGGGCAACAATGGCGTTCCAGCAGTCTCCTCTCCTCAAGTTCGAGGCCTCACCGGCCGAATCCTTCCTCTCCGCTCCCGGCGACAACTTCTCATCACTCTTCGCCGACTCTTCATCAATACCGTCCACGCTCAACCCCAAGGAGATGATGACCCCAGACTCCTTCGCCGACGACCGGCTCGACTCTCGTCTGTCTGCCATCCCCGAGTCACCAGAGGCCGACATGGATGACATGGACACCCCGGCCGCCGCAGAACACTCATCGTCAGAAAAGAAGCCCGTCAAGAAGAGGAAATCATGGGGTCAGGTCCTTCCCGAGCCCAAGACCAACCTCCCTCCTAGGTACGTCCCTGGTCCTGCACCGGAGCAACGCAACACACCAAGAGTAGTATTAACCAAGCTTGCGCCTTACAGAAAACGAGCCAAGACGGAAGATGAAAAGGAACAGCGCCGCGTTGAGCGTGTTCTCCGGAACCGACGCGCTGCGCAGTCATCGCGAGAGAGGAAGAGGCTCGAGGTTGAGGCTCTCGAGAAGCGCAACAAGGAGCTAGAGACGCTCCTCCACAACGCCCAAAAGACAAACCTGATCCTGGTCGAGGAGCTCAACCGCTTCCGACGCAGCTCCGGTGTCGTCACCCGCTCATCCTCTCCCCTCGACTCTCTCCAAGACAACATTACACTATCTCAACAACTATTCGGCTCACAAGATGGCCAAAACATTACTACCGAACAGTCCTTGATGGACCAGATGATGCGCTCCGCGGTCAACCCCACCGTGAACCCCGCCTCTCTCTCACCCGCACTCACCCCCATCCCCGACAAGGAATCCCCCCACGAAGAGGAGGAGCAAGAAGAGGAAGCTGAGGAGGAAGAGGGGGAGGAGGAGGAGAAGACCATTGAACAGACCGTCTCCACTGATTCGACACAACGTCCTGCAGAGATGTTGTGCGACCCGCAGTGTCAATCGGTGGAGATGCCCCTGTCCCAGTCTTCTCTCACTCCGGCGCAAACTGCCTTGGCTTGGACCCTGTACATCAGGATGATGTTCCTTTCAGCCTCGGCTCTGCTTTCGGCCTGTCAACGGCCCTTGATGCAGATCGCTATGTCCTCGAAAGCTCACTTCTCGCTTCTCCCAACTCCTCAACTCTTGACGACGATTATATGGCTGGTGACTCTGCCACCTGCTTCACGAATCCTCTCTCCGACTACGACTTCGACATCAACGACTTCCTCACAGACGACGCAAACCACGCCGCCTATGACATTGTGGCAGCGCGCAACTATGCCGCTGCGGACCACGAGCTCGACCTCGAGATCCACGACCTTGAGACTCAAATCTCTTCGGACTATCCTATCCAGCAGCCCCAGTCTGGCGCGTCCTCTCTTGGATGCGACGATGGAGGCATTGCGGTTGGTGTCTGAGGGACGCGACGATCGGGACGGGGTCTCGGCCTTCGAGCCTTGTGCGACGCGCGGCGACAGCGAACTGACCCAATCACTACGCAGCGTGACTTTGCCGTCTAGGGAAGTCCTCCTCACCCTCTTGTGGGCCCTAAAAGTCGAGGAGCGGAGGATTCGACACAAGCAGGCCGCGGCTCTCGATCCCAAGAGAAGCGCCTCGGCAGACCAACAACGTCGACGACGTCGACAACGCAATCACCAATATCAAATTCCATCGTTTTCCAAGTAGTTGGCTTCATTTACGGATTCTTTGTTTACTTTGAAATGGGTTGGACAGACGGGGATAGCCACACCAAGGGGGTGGGCTACGTCTATGTACGGTTATGGCGCAAAGCGAAATGAGCTTCCGGCTGAAGAGAAAAAAAGAGCCGTTGATGAAGCATTACATCTTTAATCTTTATGATATCTTGTACTCTAGATAGGAACAACACAATACAACTGTTGCCACTATCATCTTTGTTGTCTCTAACATTGTCCGTGACTGTCGATACATGATGTGTATAAAGGATTACAAATGTTTTACCTTGGGTCATGCAAGTTTCAACGTGGTTCACCCACAGATAATATAGGGCTCGTTGGTCCATATGTTTGCCATGTATTCAAGTCATCATCAAATCGTTTCCAACCCTCTTAACGCCAATGCAAAACAGTCTCTCCCCCCAAAAAACGCCAGGCCGAACGAATCAATGTCTACCCAATTCCAATTCGCCTTACACACTTGTCCACTCCGTATGCAGTCAGCCAGATTCTACCACAATCCCTCCATCTCCTGCATGGCCTCCTCTTCATCCGCAAAGTCGTGCCCCTTGTCGTCGGAAGTGGTATTGCCGCCGCTCTTGTCCGCAGCGTGTCCGCCAGAGCGATCCCGCGCTTCAGCCTCTGCGATGAGGGCGTCTAAATCGTCTTCTTCGTCCAAGTGGTGCGTGGCGGGGGCTTGTCGACTGTCCATGCTTTCGGCTTCGGCCATGAGAGCTTCCAGATCGTCGTCGTCGTCGGGGGCGTCGTTTGAGGGCGCAGGGCGAAGAGCGTTTGTCGTTGGCGCTGGTCCTCGGGGCGTAGCGCCGTACAAGTCATCGTCATCAGGGACATGGTCTCTCTCTGGAGTCTTTTGCGTCCTCTGCGCAGGAATGCCGCTTTCCGTGCTTTGCGACTCCTCGGTAATGGCCACAGCACCAATGTCCAGCTCGTCGTTGTCGTCGTCGTCGTCGTCGTTGCTGGCCTTGGGGCGGCCTTCGTTGATCCATTCGCTTCGGGCGCTCACAAGGGCCTTTTTGTGGCCGGCTTTTTCAACCATGGCGAGGGCGTCGAGGAACCGGGCTTTGGGGAAGAGGTCGTCGAGCCATAGCTGGTAGAAGGAGAGGAGTCTCGAGGCGTCTGAGAACTGAAGGCCATGGGGGAAAAAAGAGAAATTAGTCGAGCGTAATGATGAAGAATTCATGGTGAGGGATGCGTACCTCGTGGCCTTTTCCTTTTAGTTTGAGGCCGAAAGCTCGTCTTCTCAGCTTGGGGATTCCAGCAGGACCCAGCAATCTAGTAATGGAAGAGTCAACATGTAACCACTTTACACTGACTCAGTTCCTGCGTATATAGGCCGTACCTTTCTTCATCGAGCTTGACGTTTGGCACTCTCACCCGTTTCTGGACGGAAACCTGCTCCTCAATGCCCAGTCCAGAGTCCGGCTCCTTTCGCTTTTTGGAAGACGATTCTGGCGGGGGAGTGGGAGATGCAAAGGGATTGTCCGAGTCGTCCAGGCCATAGTCGTCCAAGTCATCGCCGTGCTCCAGCAGACGTTCGAATTTAGCGGCCGAGGGCATGATTGATTTACTCTTTGATTCTCTTCTTTCGTCCTGCCTTGCCTTGCTTTGCTTTGATTTGCTTTCAATTTATTTGCCACAATCCCAATTGGCGTTGCCGTCACTTCTCCCGCAAGCTACAGTAGACGCGTCTCTCTCTATCTTATCATGGTGGGGGGGCCGCGTCTTGAGTTACATCTAGGTACATGTACGTAGCCGCCATCTTTAATTGATTCACGTGACCCGAACCAAGTCAACGCTGTCCACGTGATATCTTGGTTCCTAAGGCACTAATAATCGCAAGTTGCAGCTTCGGCCTCAGATCTCTCGATCCAATTGAGCGCTGCATTTTGGGGTCGCAAATCTACAGCAAAAAATGGCCTCGACAACGACCAAGCAGACCCCGGCGTCCTTTGTCGGGACCAGCAAGGTCGTCGAGACTAGCTATCCGGTATGTTTGGCGCACAATTGGCAGTGCAATGGAGAGCACACGGCTGACTGACTGGGATTTAGCTCATCGACAACGACCCGTACGTTTCCCCATCGAAGTCCCTGGTTTTTTGTCTGGCGGGACAGTCTTGTGTGGTGTGCAAGGCGAATTGACGAATGCTGATGGGTTTCCGGGCAGTCACTTCAAGCGGGTTATCGGATATGCGAGAACGTCAGACTACGTAGCTGGTGCAACCTCTGCGGCCTTTGCACCGGCTGCTCTCTATGCCCTCGAGAGGCTCGCTCCGTCGCATGTCGGCCGGGGTGGTTTTGCCAAAGCCATGCGGTTAGCCGGATTCATCGGCTTGGCCGGCGGTTTCCTCTACTTTTACCAGCGATCAGCCCGTACGTTTCTTTTTGCACGACCCCTCATTTTTTCTCTCTTTCAGTCTGGCGTCCTTGGTTCCGAAGCTCGTTGGACTGTTGGACGACAACTGCCGAGACTGTGGTGACTGACTCTTTTTAAAAACCCCTTTACAGTTCGATTCTACGGCGCTACCGAGAACTCGAGGGAAGTGGAGATGGATATGCGAGAGATGGTTTCCAAGGTCAAGGCGGGACGGCCTCTGTATGGCGAGAGCAAGCTGAGCCCGCACCTGCAGGGAGTTGCGGCCCGACAGAGCAGATACTCTGCGCTCTTCTTCAGCACAGTACCGTGGTTCAACTTTGTCAACCACAACCAGCACGGCGTGGACACGGCCAAGTACTTTCAGCAGGCCGAGAGGGAACTGGAAGCAGAACGGGCGGCGGGCAAGAGCTAGACGGAGCCGATGGTCGCAGATGTGTATATTTAGCGGGGACTACCGCTTCTTGCGGAGAAGAAAAAGTATTGCAAGCTTCACGTCTACGGGGAACTGCGCATTGAGATGATGCGCGCTGTGACTTTTGCCGGTGGTCATGAGCCCATTGGTTTGCGTCATCTACTAACAGTAGGTTCAAGTCTACACAGGTATTCTGATGCTATCGAACAAGGAATGTCATGTTCGCCTCAACTCCACATGGGTATAGAACTATTCAACGGCTACAGATATATCGCAACCTCGGACAGCATGCCACCCCTCGATTCAACCACGGCTCATCAGGCGAGAGAGAGAGAGTTACGCCAAAAGCTGCTAGCAAATCCTTTGAAAAAAAAACAAGACTACTATTGGAAATTATGATGCATCAACATGTCTATGCAAGCGGGCTTCGGATGCTTGTGCCTGGTCATGAAACACGGCGGAGCGTGGATGAAGCCTCACATGTCACCCCCCGTGGGGGCTAAGAAAGAATTAACACACCACCGCGGACGGAATCACGGACTGATTACAATCCCTAGAGACGCCTCAACTGAGCGGCGGATACGAAGAGGCTGAGACAGAGAACCCCCCGCAATCTGATGATCTATCATCCTCGGAAGAGATCTGGACCACCACAGGTCAAGCGCCTGAAAGGGAGGGGGCCGGTATCTTTGACCTGGTGCTCTGCCAAGCTCACCGTGGTGTTGAGGCCCTCTATGCCGTCCCATTGGGTGGAATACGAACACCCAAGACACAAGGAATCAGCTGGCGGGCGCAGCACAATACAATGACCATTGAAAATGAGACCCTGGTTCGGCTGAGCCGGCAAACGGAGTTTAAAGGCCACCAGTGGGCTTTTGGTGCCGCACTCTTACCCAAAGCTGAACCGTTCCTGGCTGATGCCATGCTTCAAAGACAAGTCTTTGACGAATGTCCTGTCCATGCGCACGCCACAGTTCCAACGGCTCAGCTCGCGGGGGATCCTTGGGTTGTCTGCCCAATCTGACCAGTCGGAGTTGCAGCGCTGGCTGGATACGGTAAGATGCCCTCGTGAACTAGGTTTGGTTTCTGCTCTCCCACCCCTTTGGCCGAACTGAGACAGCTTCTTGGACGACTGACGGTGACGCCACACCGGACACCCAGGCTTTGTGATAGCCCATGCTGAATCTCCTGACATGAGCTCATCATTGTGCGCTCTTGGCCGTTTCCATGCGGGGGAAATGGTGTGAGCCAGCCAGCAAGCAAGGCCTCATCGCTGAATTCGAGGCTTTGGTGACGGCGATGGACATCCTTGTTAGCGCATCAAGGCAATCCTGATCGTTTGCGGAGAGGACTTGACGCGTCACCTGAGTGAGGAGTCCATCAACGAGTTCGGCGCTGTGGTTGAGAGGCATCATGCAAATGTGAATGACAAGACGTCATGGAAGCTTGCAACGGCTACTTATCGTGTGCACACTACCAAACACGCATGTCTTACAGCTCTTGGTTGCTGCTGACGATTCAGGCGAATGATGATCCATCTTGCCCAGTACATGGTCGAAACGGGGGCCTACTCTTGCATGACACACATGTTCCGTCTTCTCTTGATGGCCTGTTTCACCGAGCAATGCCAGCTTTGGAACCTCTTTCTCAGAATCAGAAGATCAAGACGACCCCCCCTGGTATGGGAGACGCTTTCTAGCTGGAAAGAATCTAGGCCTCGTGAAAGACGGAGGAGATGAGCGGCTCCCGCGGTTCCTTTCACGGGCCGTTGCGCTGAGCAAGGGTCGCACAGACTATGGATTTCGACTCCAGGGACAGGTTAGTAACTTTCCTGGCTGGCTTTTGTCTTCTTTCTTCTTCTTCTTGGTTTCCAATCAATGTGATGGATGTGTGATTGATTGCTCGGTTCTAACCCAATACGTTTGATGATGATTGACGACCACTGTGCGCGCACGCAGCCACGATATCCAAACCCCCCCCAATCGAATCCGATTTAATCCGAGACATATTGCGCCTTCTGGCCCGCTGAAGACATGTCTCTTGACCCATCTGTCTCAGACAAAAAGAAAAAAAGAAAGGAAAAGGGAAAGAAAACAGAGCTAGTGAGATCTGAGTTGCACCCAACGTCAAGCTTCTTACCAGCACCATGCAACGACCACTTACACCAGTCTGCTGGATCGTTGGTGACAACTCCGATGTAACTCCACACTTTTGTCATCACACATTGCGACGGCGCTTCTATACACGCGAGCACGTCCGAGATGAAATTCTTCTGCGCGGAATGTAGCGCGAGGATGCCAGCGGCAAGGGGGGCCCACGATTCGTCAGTTGTCATTTCCTACTTGTTTAAATTGGAGCAGGGGAGGGGAGCCTTGGTCGAGGATTCGTTGGCCGACTGGTTGAATGCTACCAAGTGCCGGATTACTGTCACATGTGAAAAAACAAAAAACAAAAGGCATTTTGTGATATACAGGCTGGAACTCTGATTTATAACGCATTTGATACCAGAAAGAGTTGGATATACCGTGGACGTGGTTCGTTCCTTGTCGCTTAATCGAGGAATTCGGCGTCCACTGCCCCCCTGGAGGTGCTCAAAACGGGAGCGACCTGCATATTGCCGTGACGACTGGCAATGGATGGATTTGCTAGCTTCCCGTTGAGTCTGGGTATATGCAACCCTGGCGTGACAATTGCAACCCATGAGTTTAGATGTTGACATGTTTCAAGTTTTCTTGAATTTCTCTTTTTTTTCTCTCAGTTATCCTCATATGATGAGGCAATAAACCGCTATTAGTTATGGAAACCTGGATACGATCAATACGAATGGCCCGAGATTAGGTGGACTTGCCGAGGCAGGGACAAGAGGTCATCTGCGGTCACATTACAAGGTGTTTTCATCCGTGTAGTTGTATCTGTACTCGTATACTCGACATCTATAGATGGGTAGAAACTAATGGCAAAGGGTAGTCTTATCGTATGCTCTTCAAAATGATCCACACACGGCATTTATAACGCGTTGATATCCGGGTGCTAACGAAGATGTTTTTTTTTTTTTAAATATAGCAGCTAGCTCAAAGTTTAATATATTCATCAACACCCACACGACATGATTCGACTGATACCGTGGTCATTCCGACATTGGACGCGGCTTGAGTCGAGGTAATTCACTCGTCTTGGATCCAAGGGATCCCATGGGATCTAGCCTTCCTCCGGTAGACTCCTCTCCCGTCGCATATTTCCAATCAAGAAAACACACTGTGTGTGTGTGTGTGTGACAGCCCACTCCAGATATCGCCGAGCTGAGACCTCCGTGGTGGCCGATGCAAGTTCACCGGAGATGTGGCGGCTCCACGTTGTTAGCCGCTGGGTTTGTGTAACACGGAGAGACCTCGTCACGGCTGGCATGATGCTGAAAAGGGAAGTGGATGTTCGAAGCTGCAACCACAACTACGGAGAAGGATGTGATTGGGAAAAAAAAAACCACCATGGACGGTGGAGCAGAGCTGGAGTCTAGGGCGGTGCGGACCGCCGTGCAGAAACGACGCTTGCATGTTGTTACAAGTGGCAGCATGTCGGTGCGAAAGTCGTATGTCGACTATTGATTAGCCGACGAATCAACATGTTGGAAGCCATCCATCACGCATTGCTTTCCCGAAGCGGGTGGCATTGGGGGGGATGATATGGAGTTGATGAGGTTTCCATGATAGCCTCACCCTTCCTTCTGCTACCCTGTCTGTTTAGGCGGATAATCGAGTGGGAGCCCGAACCGACGATTCTGTAGAGGAGGAGGGGTATGAAGCAAAGGCTTGCTGCTGCAACAGCAACACATTCGTCCGTCGCCGCGGTTCAGCTCAAGCCGTATCCAACCAGAATATCCATCGACTGGTGAGGACCGTTCTGGGCGTGGCATGGAGGACCCCTGGCTCCGACCCTGTCCTTGGCGGGTGTCAAGTCAAGTCAAGACAAGACAAAAGACACGCGAGACGAAGCTGAGCTGCGCCCGTCGACAACGTCACTTGCGGCTGTCAAGTCTCGGACTGAGCCCTGGTTGAAGTTAGCCCGGCAGCTGGGACAGACATGAATGTGACATGGAGAGCCGCTGCAAACGCGTCCAGCGAAGCCGTTGACACCTTGCAGCTCCACTTGTGATGCAGTCAACCCACGTTTTGGGCGGATCACTAACCCTGTTGTGTAGGTACATGGTTGGGCCGTGAGTGTGTTAGCCAGAGCTGCGCGACATAGTGGATATCGTCAGCATCTCCCCGTACATGTAGATTCCTGATATGCATAAATCGAGGCGGACTCAGCAGTGCAAGCAATACTACTAGCGAACTCGGCTGATCAAAGAGAGAGAGAGAGAGAGAGAGAGAGAGAGAGAGAGAGAGAGAGAGAGAGAGAGAGAGAGAGAGAGAGAGAGAGAGAGAGAGAGAGAGAGAGAGAAAGGGCCAGATGAGGCAGATTATTGGTCCCGTTGCCTGGGGGCGGCTGGATGTGACGATGCCATTGCTAGCATCGCAGCTGAGAGTCTCCCAGGCAGGTCTTCCAGCACCCCGGACAGCCAATTGCTGGGGTATAATCGACCCTGTTCCCTGCAGTCGTATTTGTTAGCAGCAACAGGGGGGTTCATGCGTATAAACGGTACGGAACGAACGCTCGCAGATCGGATCGGAGAGTTCGCCAGCTCGTCAAGGGTCTGGTTGTTGCTTGTCGACCCGCGATAAGACGGTGACGAATCACTGCGAGGCATCGGGCTAACAAGAGTCACGGCGACAAAGAAACACGAGCCTCGGCAGTTACATGTAGCCTGGTCAGTGAGGCTGGCTTTCAACACGATCGATCGATTAGTACCTAACTTTCTTCCCCATTTGGAGCATGTATCCGCTTAGTGATTCCACCTTGAGTTCTTTCTTACCGTACGAGGCAAAGTCGTTTCAATGTTCAATATCAACAGCCAACTCAGTCACTTCCCACAACAAAACGCTTACGTCCATCTCCTCGGATGCCTCTCTTTCCGATCCAAAGAGAAAAGTTTTCTACTATCTTCTCCTTGTCTTAAATCCACCACCGTGGGGGGACGCCAAGGAATCTCGCCCCTCCACGAGAGAAGAGGATGGAGATGGAGGCTGCCTCGGCCAAGTGGAGAGACTCGAATCACCCTCTTCTCGGCCAAACTCAACTCTCACATGTGCCGGTTCCGTGGCCTTGAAAAAGAAAGGTGAATCCAGAGCTCCGGGCCTGGATTTCCATCTCCATCGTGGTGGCTGCCTCCAATGGCCCATGCCACCCCCCCCCCCCCCCGGTGATGTGACATTTTCTTCAACCCCCATTTCGTCGTGCTGCAATGACACCCCGTGCCCCTGGAACCTCGACTTTTCTATTTTCTGCATCGCCATGCTTGTTAATCGGCGGCTGTGGACGCAGCTAGCTGAACTGCCACGCATCTTGTGGGTACAATGGCCAGTGAGGAGGCCGTCGACAACTGCCGGTGGTGCGAGAAGTTGGTCACAAGAGATGGCACAACCAACTTCTGCCACGAGATAAAAATGGAACGCATCGCCTCTCTTCTTTATTTGGTCTGATCTAGAGCACAAGCCAAGACACTATTGCCCATTGTTGCCACGAGCGGCGTTTCTCGTCTATTCATCAATTGGCCGTGTGGAGAATTGTCCACGACCAACACCACTTTCGTTCTATTGTCCTTCCATCCGCCAGCGACTACGGCGTCTAGTTGTGGTCTATGCACCAAGAACATCTTCACTGCCCTCGGGGAATTTCGGTTTACCATGGCCAAATCATGCCCAGATGCTTTTGCGCACAAGATGCAAAAACCTACCCACAACCAAGCTCCTGCACCGACATTGACATTGCAACACCAACCCCCAGACCAACAGAACCGATACATCGATGATCTTGGGGCTCCCCCTGTCAAGGTATATGGTGATTATCACCCCATCCGGATGGCAGACGAATACTTTTTTGATAAATATATGTATCCTACTCCGCCATTGACCGCCTCCCTCGTGTCGGAGGACGATGATGTCTCCTCCTCCTCTGGCCTCTCAGCATATTCCGAACCCATCTTCGCCCCAGACGGCATCCCTACAGATCCATTCCCTCGAATTTCGAAACCCGTAGAGCTTCTGCGACATTCATATGATTGCGTGGTTATAGGTTCTGGCTATGGAGGCTCCATAGCTGCCTCGCGCATGGCTCGGGCAGGCCAGTCCGTTTGCTTGCTGGAGCGAGGAGAAGAGAGATGGCCCGGGGAGTACCCTACTGCCACGATGGAAACATTTAAACAATTGCGATTGACAGGGGACATCACTTCGAGAACCCTCGGCAAAGTTCCCGTCAACAGCGGCAATCCCACTGGCATGTTCAATCTCTTTTTCGGTCGTGATCAGAGTGTAGTTCTTGGCAATGGTACGCACATCTCTCTAACCGTTACGACGGGCCATATGTTGATCTTTGTATAATGCCGCCTCGCAGGGCTAGGAGGCTCAAGCTTAATCAACGCAAACGTATTTCTCGAAGCAGACGAACAAGTTCTCACGACGGGCTTTTGGCCACCCGAAATTCGAAAAGACCCTGCACATTTGGAAAAGTGTGCGTTGTTTCCCACTCTTATCCTCTCTTTCATACATACTCTTGGTTCCCCTTGTTGTGTGTCGTCATCACGGGCAACTCAGTTGGGTTAACTCTCTGTCTAGACTACCAAAAAGTCAGGGATGTGCTTGAGCCAGAACCATATCCGGACGATTGGCCAGCACTCAAGAAGACGGAAATCCTCGAGAAGCAAGCCCGTGTTCTTGGGCTTGCCGACAAGTTCCGCAAGGTTCCCCTTACGACACGTTTTCGATCCGGCCCCAATAGCTCGGGCGTCAATATGTCAGCGTCGACCCTCTCGGGACAAGACAGCACAGGCGTGAACGACGGCTCAAAAACCACAACCTTGGTGACATATCTCGCCGATGCGTGGAACTGGGGTGCCGAAATGTTCTGCAAGTGCGAGGTGCGGTACATTGAAAGGGTCCAAGACGAGCGTGGCGGCTACTTGATCTACTTTGCGTGGCATGGCCGCGGTCGTGAACGGTTCTCAGCAGAACACACTTATGGCGACCTGATGTGGGTTCACGCAAAGAAAGCCGTCTTCTTAGGCGCCGGCTCGATTGGAACTACCGAAATCCTGCTGCGTAGCAAGCAGATGGGACTGGGTATGAGCGACTGGGTTGGCCGTGGGATGAGCGGCAATGGAGACGTGCTAGCATTTGGGTCAGCATTACCACTACCCTTGTTCTCTGATGGCAGCGGTATTCAAAAGCTGACAGAATCGCCTTTGTCGTTAAAGACACAACTGCAAACAGGAAGTAAACGCTCTCGGCAAGGCGTCGCCAGATCCAGCAAACCCCGTCGGTCCAACCATTACCTCTGCCATCGACAACAGGGCAGGCCTTGCGAATCCGCTCGACGGCTACATCATCCAAGAGGGCACCATGCCGAATGCATTTTCCCAGCTGCTGCAGTGCGTGCTGGATCTCATGCCAGGCAGCCATTCCCCTGACAAGTCGCTGTTTGAGCGGACTCGAGAGGCAATGGGCGTGTGGAAGAGCAGGCTGCTCGGGCCCCTCTCCAAGAAGGGGACTTTGGGAAATACCCAGGTTTTTCTCATCATGTCCCACGATGGTAAGGAATTCTTCTACATTCGGGGGTTAGAACAGCAAGTGCAAAGTTCGCTGACCAACTCAGGGAGTCAAGCAACGTTGAGTCTCAAGAATGACCGACCCGTGTTGGAGTTTCAAGGAGTGGGAAAAAGCGACCGTATCAAGAGATTCCACGACATCCTCGAGAAGGCGACAGACGCCGTTGGCGGCACCCTGGTGTATACTCCAATGTACCATTTCATGAACAAGCACCAGATAACAGCCCATCCTCTTGGGTAAGTGCCCTGACTTGTCAAAAACACCTTGTATCATGATTTGGTTTCTAATGCCAATCCTCTCAGTGGTGCACCCATGTCGCGGGATAACACCGCAGCAAATGGGGCGACGAATCACCTAGGCCAGCTTTTCGCCGGCAACGATACCTCAGAGATTCATCCCGGCCTCATCGTGGCCGACGGAGCCATCATCCCGGCCTCCATCGGAGTAAACCCGCTTGCAACAATTGCCGCCCTGGCCGAACGCACGGTCGAGTCTTATGCCAGAGCAAACGGCTTGACCATCGACGAGACCAAGAACGACGTTTTAGACCTCTATGGAGAGCCAGCCCACAAGCCAAGAAGAGATGGACGCTCTTGCGAGTCGACTTATCGTTCTGGCGATGAAACGCCTGATCAAATGTCGAACAAGGCCAAACTGCTCCGACAAAAGAGCGTCGAATTCACGGAGCTCATGTCTGGCTTCCTCCACAAGACTTGTTCAAGCGCCGCAGTTGACGATACGTCTGCCTACGAGTCAGACTTTCGCGCGGGCAAAGGTCGGGGAGAGGTTGGCAGATTACTGGTCAGCGCGACAGTCTTTGACGGTGACATTCTGAGGGACGAGTCTCAACCCAGCGGCATGCTCACAGGCACGTTCGTCTGTCCAACCATTGAGGGGTCGCCGTTCATGTTGTCGAGAGGCGACTTGGGGCTATTCAAGAGAAACCACAAAGCTCCGGGAAGCAGCATCCTGACGTACGATTGCGACATGGCTGGCGCCAACGGTCGTCGCCTTCGTCTCCATGGCTACAAACTGGTCGACGCATCTGTTTCTCTGAGTCCCCTCCAGATGTGGCGCTCCACGACGACCCTCTACGTTTCCATAACGGAAAGGGGCATTCGAAACGAAGATGCCAATCAGGAGCAAATCGTTTGGCATGACGATGTTGCCGATTTTTATTACCAAGACGTGCCGCTCTCTCCCAGCGAGAAGCTGGTTGCAAGAGGCATTTTGAATCTGCGCCCAAAGGATTTCGTCTCCGAGATGATGACTCTATCTCCTTCTGGAAGCAGCTTCCTCAACAAGGCCATCAACATGTCCAAGTTCATGTCCTTCTTCACATCTAAATCACTGTCACACTTCTTGACGCCATTGGGCTCGCTTGAGTATCCAGAGCAGGGATTCGTCTCATATATAAATTACACGCCTCCCTCTCAGACATACGTGATTGTCGCCAGCGATGGCATCGAGACGGAGCTGCACATGTGGGAACCAAACCCAAGCGCTGTTGCCACTGATTCAAGGGGCTCTCCTGTCAAAGTTGAGAACCTCTTCATGATTCCCGGCGCATCTGTCGACCATCAAATCTTTGCGTTGCCGACGATCTCCTTCAACTCCGTCAATTACTTCACACGAGCCGGCTACCGTGTTTTCGTGACGGTACATCGAATCTGCCAGTTAAATTCGCTGAGAAAACAGGAGTGGACAACATATGATTCCAGGTTCGATATCAGGGCCTGCTTACAACAAATTCGGAGAGTCTACGGTGTCAACAAAATATACACCGTTGCTCACTGCATGGGATCCGTCGCTCTCGCCGGTGGTCTTCTCGACGGGACCATCCCACCCGAGTGGATCCTCGGAATCACCTGCAGTCAGGTGTTTATGAATCCAATATGGAGCACTATGAATATGATCAAGGCCAGGTCGCCAGTGCAGTTGGATAAGATGTACGAGTCACTCTTGGGGAACTGGTTAGACTGCAGCACGTCGAACGAGGACTCCTTGGCCCAGCGAACTGTGAACCAGCTGTTACGATTTTGGCCGGAAAAGAGAGGCGAGGTGTGCAGGAATGCCGCCTGCCACCGTACGACATTGCTGTTTGGGCGTTGCTGGAGCCACCGCAACCTCAACGAGGAGACGCACCGAAACATGGATCGCTTCTTCGGCGGAAGTTCCATGACGCTGATGAATCTATTGAAACGAATGGGAAGCCGCGGCTACGTTAGCTCCAACGCGCCAGAATATGAGGAGTTTAAGGAGCAGCATCATATTGAGCGCCTGCGCGGTATTCCAATCATGCTGTTCGTTGGCGAAGACAGCGACGTTCTCTCCCCAAGAGCCACGGAGACGTCATATGAGCGCCTGATCGACTCCTTTGGCATATCCGCCGGCCTCCCCGGGGGAGGCGTTCAGTATCGCCGAAGGCTTGTCCAAGGCTACGGCCACTTGGACTGCTGGATGGGACGCAACGCATGGAGGGACGTGTATCCCTTTGTGCGCGAAGAAATCGACCGAGTTGTTCGGGGAGAGTCGTATCGATTCCACCAGCCGAACGATCGGTTCAAGTGTTTTGCAGAAGACACTGAATCACATTATTAAAACGTATATACGACATGGGTTGGCGCGGCGGGCTTTTGTTTTTCTCCTCTTAGATTAGTTTATAACGTGTTTGATGATGGGTATTGGGATTTGGGTGTTTGGCGGCTACAGGGACTTATATATCCGGGTTAAAATGTTGGTGCAGGGTAGAAATTATGTGTTGGAAGCTCTCACGGGTTACGGTCTTGGTTTGATGGGAGGAAACGTCAATGATGACTCATGTTCTGACTTTCCGCAAGTATATGTATATATGTTCAACAAAGTATATCTCCTTTGTTGATTCTTGATCACAACTACATGATGAATCATGGTTCTTCGTTATGAATACTCTGCTTATGAAGATACGTTTTCCAGAACCATTGTGACTCTGTTAGAATCCCCCGCAGCCAACACAACGCTGATTGCCACGGAAGAAGTTGAGCTTTCGGTTGAGAAAGACGAGAGCATGTTGACCAATTCGACACTGAAACAGAGAAAAAGTATTCCGCTAGCCCATCCTTCCACTCATACTTCTCCAATCTAGGCGCTGGGGCCTCCATCCTTCTCGGCCCGTGTGGGTGGCATCCTTTGCGGGGGGCAGGCTGGAAACAAGCCGTTGTCATTGGAGAGACCATCTGTATCATAGGTAGCTTGAGAAGGCGTCTCTGTTTCGGATGGCGATTGGTTCGTCTCTTTGATGCTTTATGACGAGAGAGGACGGCATCACGCCCCGTGCATGGCTGCAAAGAGGACCAACCAACCAACCGAGGTGCTCAAAACAAAGAGCTTGCAAGCTACATGTAGGTTGGAACCCCGCCGTGCTCCTGTAAGAGCCGAAATTTCTTCTTCAAAGCGAGGCCCTGTTGGATACAAGCTATTACATGCGACTGAAACACTCCGCTGCCTATGCCATTGCACGGATTCTATAAAACGGCCTTTTGAACGTCTTCCAACGTTGCATTTGCATACCGGAATGCAACGTCCTTTTACCCGTCGCCTATATCCCCGCCAGATACTGAACCGGCCGATGGAGATGAAAACACCCGCTTCTCCGTAAAAGGCCGAGTCGGGTCCGTGTGGGTTTCCGCCGTACCGCGCATTGCCCAAGAGGGCAACTATGGCTTTCCGTTTTCATGACACCGCATTTGTTTAACCAAGAGTGTGGGTGAATGATATCAAAATGTCTCATCATATAGCATCTGAGTTTAGTCATTCCCTGCAGTACTCTAGATTTGTGATTCAAAGATTTGTAGCTTGAAGACCCATTGCTTACCATCCATCATCAGGAGGCTTCTTCTCTGATCATTTCGTAATTGCAGCGGTGATGGCAATGTGGTTATATTACAAGTGCTTCATCATGCGTAACATCATATTCAGGGCGGTGGCTCACGGTATTGGAGACCTCGGAGGTAAATCTAAACGTATGTCCACCGTATGGAGGAAGCGTGATGTAGGTAAGATCAGAATGAAATGACTACTACACCATTAGTAGGCAATGACATGACTATAAATTTCCCTTTTGTTCTAATAATATGTGGGTGGTAATAATGATACATGAAGGCTTTGCTTTATATAAACACGGTTTGCTTTTTGGGGAACCTCTCTGCCGGACATTTCGTACAGCACAATCATGTAAATAACGCCAGTTTAGGTGGACAATGAGAGATAAAGGTAGGTTTAACCAACTTGTTTGCTAGGACTTTATCAAGTTCGCTTAAAGAATCTTCAACGTTTTGCCCTGGTTGAACTATCGATGGCCTCATGCTAACTCTTGTTGATTTCAAGCGGGCCACGTAACTTTGCCCGAAAAAACGTAATATTTTCGATGCTCTCTATATGTCACCGCCGTTGGGCTTTATGTAGACTGTAACTCGGATTATTTAAGGAGGCAAAGAGAGTTGGCAGATATTTATACACAGTTGTATAAGTGATGGGATTCGGACCATGCAGGATAGAGGCGGTAATAAATCTGCAAAAAAAAAAAAAGCTTTGATGAAAATAAGGCGTTGGATTGACGCGCAATTGCCTGTATTTCTACTACTACAGTAATCTCAATAATGCTGTAGCATAATCTACGACAGACACATCTGAGTGATTATCAAACAATGACATTCCGGCGAAAGAAAACGGGATGAAGTCACTAATTACCTCTTAATCAACACCTCAGGCATCTGTTGGACGAAGCCGAAGCTTTGCAAACAACATGAATCAGTCAGTCCTCTCCACAAGTGCCTGAACAGTCATGGATCCCGATATATCCGACAAACCATGTCCAACGGCCCAGTTTCAATCTATTCCCCTTTGACTCTACTCATATTCTGAATGCCGTTCATGCAGTCAATCCACCCAAATCCCATGCAATCACTTCGCATAGCATCATCTCGCTACCAAAGCCTACTAGCGAGGAAGGCCGAGCGCGAGAGCCCAACAACTCCACGGCCAAGCAAAGGCCTTGTATGCCTGATCTGATCATGTGTATCCTGCATGTTCAAACTCTACCGTGAGAAGAAAAGAGATCACGTGGGAAAACAAACAAGATGCCGAAATATATGCCGCAGATGGCCAGCTTCAGCTTGTCCACATTTGCCCATTTTGGAGCTTGAGCCGTCAAGATTGCAGCGCCTCATGCAACACCTCGTGGGAACATGCTGTTGCTTCACAACACTCACTTCTCTATATCCCTGTTTCTACTCAAATAGGCAAGGGGAGGACATGCCTAGCGCAGGCCACGGCAGGCCATCACCAGATTGGGGCATATCACGGCCAATAAAGTGGCCGGTTTAGAGCGAACCACGTCAATGTCTCCAGAAAAAATGAGGCTAATTGGTATAAGCATCTGGTAGTGTGTAACTTCCGTTTTGGGATAATGCCCCCGGCAGTCGAGTTCATATATTTGGACGGCACAGCTTCTCGAGGCCTCGAGTCTGGTAGAGTGTGGTAGTGAGAAGAAGGGAAAGAATTCCTTCGCGATCCCAGACGGGCAACTGACCATTTCATCATACATTCCTTCAACATCACCTTGAGTAAATTCACACGGCAAGCAGCTCGTTGTTTTTGCTTGCTTACACGGAGTACAGTGTAAGACAAAGCGCAGAGTAAAACACCAAGTCGTGGGCTCTAGTCAAGACTAAAGCTGATGAATTTCTTCTAGGTTTGCCTAGAATACAGTGCCAAAACAGCCAGGCTTGACAAAAGAACTCTCTGCATTTACCTTGAAGTGTAGTCGAATCTTGATTCGAATACTCACCAAGCACCACCGAGACGCAAGAATGTGTGCTCAGGCAACCACGGTTGTCAAAGAGCAACAGTCTTCCAGATTGCCAAGCCTCGATCTCTATCGTCACCAGCTAACTCTGCAAGCTGAAAAGACAAACGAGCAACTCAGGCAGCTTCTTGAGCGCTTGGACAGGCAAGATACTCCACTCTACGCAACCACGCAAGAACACGGGCGGCATGGTGAGCATGGGGTAGATCCACTGGAATCGACATCAATTCCTTTGTCATCGCCGTCTTCTTCTTAAGACGGCATGGTACTTTATCTACATTGAGCGTTAGCTTCTCTGTCACAGATCCACAAGAGCTTCCAAAAAGTTATACGATAATAAAGAAAATGTTTTTTCCCCAGTAGCTCGGCATGTCTTTCCCGTACATTTCCCAAGTCAGAGAGACGCTTTCACTTCCGAATCACTCTGTGAACCATATCGATGACTTGGTATGTACTGATACTCAACCGCAAAGTGCCAAGCAAGTGTAATCCGTCACAGGAATCTTTGACGTGCTGGGGGTACGAGACGGAGAATCGAGACAAGGACACAAGGTCCCACACTGACCATCAAAATGTCCCGGCATTGTTGCCATTATAGTGCTCCTATATTGGGCATCGCGTCTTCTTCTTCCTCCTCGATCTTCCACGAGTCAGCTCCGCCAGACACTGGTAAAGGGGGCCTTGCTATATAGAATGTCCAAAACATTGTAAATTGCCAGTCAGTAAGGGGTAAAGAAATCCGTTCGGTAAGAAACTGCATGCCGAGGATATCTAGCTGGGGAATTTTGGGACTCGATTTGGCCCTCAGACCATTTCCAACATCTTACAGTCCACATTGCCATGCTCCAAGTTGGTCAACACTGAACGGACAAGACTGAACGGACAACACTCAACGATGATGTCGTAGAACTTTTTTTTGCTTATATTGAGCACATGGTTAGCTCGAATCATTATCTCCCTTCGGTCTGTATACCCGTTTGACGAGCAATATTATGGTGATTCATCCCAACCTAGGCTCTGGTCTCAACGGCGGAAGCAAAGACGTCCAACCATAACAAAACCAAAACTTTCTTGGGTGTATGCATCGTCGTCTTAAACAGGATACACCAACTTCACTCCAGATACTTTTCCCTCACGCATCTCTTGCAGCCCATCCAAAACACCGCTCCATCCTCCTGCCCTCACGCTCTGCGGATGTGGCTTAATCCTGCCCTGCCAAAGCAACTCCTGAGCCAGTCCCATGAACTTGACCGCAAAATCATATCCCTTGGGACTGGCAGGCACCTTTTCCTCTCCAAAGTCAAACGCTTCTCCGAAAGCCGTGTAAGCCATAATATGAAGATTGGTCACGTCCTCACGCGGAAGCCATTGTAGGCCACTGAGACCAGCATACTTGCCGCCCTGGCTGCCAAAGGCATTGCAACAAATCTCTGCCGTTTCGGGGGTCGATATGGTGTCGAACACGTGGGCAAGTCGGTTCTTGGTAATCTTTCGGATAGAAGGGGCACAGCTTGGTGAGTCGTAGTCATATACATGGTCCGCTCCGAGGTCGCGAACAAGGTGAAAATTTCTGGGAGAACAGGTTGTGACGACTTCCAAGCCGGACCTGAACAAGGTTATCAACATACAATCTAAGCACAGTATCTCAGCTGGGCTTTTGTGCACTCACAGCTTGGCAAACTGAATTGCAAGGGTGCCTGTTGCAGTACTGCCTCCATATATCAAAACAGGAAAGGGCCGCATTGGTGGATCATCCGGTAGAGGCAGCTCCAAAGACTCATATAGGCTCTTGCCTACGGTGATGATGCCAGCGCCTAACGTAGCAGCTTCTTCAAACGTCATGAAATCGGGAATCTTTATCTGAAGATCTCCTTTAGCAGCGACATGTTCTGCAAACGCTCCGTCCTCGTGGTTCGAGTGGTTGCCTATAGCAAAAAAGAACATATTGTCAGTATGAAAGCTGATAACTCTGCCTAAAGAATCAAGCGCTCACTGCCGTGGACCATTCCCATGACTCTGTCACCAACGTGCGGCCCATGCTTGACAGCAGGACCAACTCGCTCTACGACACCACTGTAATCGCAGCCCACAATCGCCCCGGGGCTGGGTAGGTAATCGATTTGTTTCCAATCGGTCGGATTCAACGCAACAGCTACTGTTTTAACGATGATGTAGTCGTCACGGAGTTTCGGCATGGGAGTATCGTTGACAACTTGGGCCTTGCCAGGGCCTTTGATCTGGATAGCTGTTTGCATAGCCATTGGAACCAATTCTTGCGGAAAGGTAAGATAAAAACGAGTCAGACAGCAACGCATCTGGTAGAGGGAGATGGATTTGACTGCTTGACACATTCCATTACCCCGCGTATGGCGTTTCATCAGGCTGTCTATTGTCTCCATCCAACGCCATGTAATTTCCTTGCGTCAGTAACCTCTGGAGTACACGCCAGCAGCTTGGATCGAGGAGCCGAAGACATATTCTCTCCAAAGTCTATCCCAAGTAGCAAGTACTGAGTCTTTTGTCGATTTCCTCGGAGCTCTAGAGCGTTTGTAGTTCGGCTTGAGCCTCGAAGGATCCGCGGCGTGAAATAGAGTTTGAGCCGGTTGTTGGGAATTCATGCTGGGCGTTACATCACGACGACTTGACACAATGTCAAGTGTCTAGTTCCAAGATGGCAGATGTACACAGCATCGTTGAATTATTCTTTCAAAAAACCCCTATCGATATCACCGCCGGAGCAGATCCATCATGTTGAAGACTGTGGCGTGTTGAAGATACGAACGACAACCCGCAGTCAATCCTGCAAGTTCTCATGATGGCTCGCCCAAGCCATCTTCCAGAAGCGGATGTCGAAATGCACTAATTCAACGGCGCCAAAAGCACAGCGGAAATGTCGATGAACTCATGGGTGTGAATCTTAGATTTGATGCTTATACAGATTCAGAGGGGAGAATTAGAGTTTCCCGCTGGATCGGCCGGTACAAACTCCGCGGTAGATCCTCGATTCTGTTCCACCATCTCAGCTAGCAAGGAGATGAAGAATACTGTTGCATAACGTCATTTAGATTGACACCACACGCAACCAAGATATAAGGGCACCATTAGCAGACTGAATCGCAATTCGCGGGCCGCAAGTCCCCAACTCTGACTTATAGCCCTTGCATCTCCAGAGAAACTCAATGGAAACTGTACTCGTCGTCGGAGCCTCTGGTAACATAGGGGTTTCTGTCATAATTGCTGCTCTGCGAAGCGGGCGCCGAGTGCTCGCCATCGTCCGAAACAATGCCGCAGAACAAAAAATCATCCAACACGTTGGGACAAAGGATGGAATCACCTTTGTTGAGGCTCAGGTGACAGATGAGAACAGCGTTCAAAAAGTGGTTGACAGAGTCAAGGCTGGCGGACTCCCAGATTTCCAGCATGTCTATTCCGCCGGTGGGTATAGAAATCAATCTTCTTCGATATCGTCCAGTATACCTTTCTAATTTGCCAATGTGGCAAGGCAGTTGGCAAGATGGAGACCACACATCCCACACAAAATCTTAAAATGTCCGCCTTTCGTGATATCATGAGCATCAACTTGGAGGGAAATTTTCGTAATCAAGGTCCCTTTCCAAGAAAACGAGGTACTCGTACTGATTCGTAGACGCAGTGGCCTATCGAGCTACCATTCCGTACTTGATCGATCAAGGATATCCTAACGCCACCTGGACGCTCGTAACAGGATCGTTGGGTGACTTGGGTTTTGCTGGCGTCACGGCCATATCGCAAGGCGCACTTTTCTCCTTGGCAAGCGTGGCCTGCCTAGAGAACCTCAAGACCAATGTCCGCTTCAATGAGGTGTATCTGGGCTATCGCGTCGACTATGATTCGATCGTCGAGAAGGAAGGAGGAGATAATCGCATGAAATCCTCCGAGTTTGCCCACGTCTACGAGGCTATCCTTGCCAACCAGGATATCAGAGCTTGTAGAATAACGGTTTCTGGCCCAGAAGACGTTCATCAGCTCAAGTACAAAAAGAAGCTCCCGGAATATGACTACGACTCACTATTTGCTGAGTATATGTGATTACCCGCAATACTCAGGGCGAGCATCCAAAAGAAAGAGAAGAAAGAGAAGAGTAGTTTGGCTGTTTGAAGATGATTGTTGCTGCATCGCCGCATTCTAGATCTAGATGCACATGTTGCTGATAATGGTGGCCTGGTGCGGGAGTTTTGCTGTGACGCTGGGTACCTGTGCCATCAGTGCTTTCTGTATACAATCTCTGCGGATTCGTTTGTATCTTGAGTCCAGGCCTTTCTATTCAAACAGTTCTGAAAAAATACCTCGCACTTTCCACTACTGGATCAATATGCAACTTCCTCTCGCCATGTTGCCGGAGACTTTTCTGTTGCAACTGCCTGACGAAGCTCGCCTATTCCGCGAAAACAAGCGAGAAAACGTCACGGACGCGAAGTCTCTGGATAAAGTAGCAGGCACAGTGCGGGGTAAGTAAATCTTCAACTTTGTGGAGGGAACAATCCCTTGTCATTTTCTCTCTTCCATCTCCTATCCATCCTCCTCACTCAATCAACCACACGCTTTTTCAACCACGCAACAAGACAACAGGTGTTTGCATCTCCCCATTTGCATATCACTTTGGCTCCTAGAATTCTTTTCTCTGCATCTACAGGTGATTTGACACAAATGTGGACATGTATGATTTGCCTTTTCCCCTGATGATCTCTGCAATGAAGCGCTCTGCCTCGAGGAAGTGGGAGATGTCAGCCACTGATTTTCTCTCCAGTGAATGATGTTTCCCACTCAAATCTTGAACATGCTTGACATGCTGTTTCCATCAGTAGCCCAAGCTCCAACGCTGTGGCCAATCATCAAAGAGACCTGACTCAGCTACCATTTACCACACTGATCTCGTCATCCACGCAATCCTCTCGACGCGGGTAGTTTCACTGCCAGAGTTCTCCTACATTCCTCCTCACAACTCACTACACACATCCACGGGTGACTCTGCAACTGGCTTGCGCGCTATCAGCTCTGGTTGTCACACACCTAGCCGATGTCTGCCTCAGATCCAGTCGGAGGCATGCCAACATGCAATTTCAACATCTTCAATGGTACGGTTCCGCCAGCTTCTTTGCAAATTTGGGCCGCATCTTTGGCCTCGACAGATTAGAGTTGAGGGTGAGAAACTTCATCGCATTATGTCATCTCCAAACAAACGCTTACTCTTTTGCTAGATATTCTGTTATGCCTTTCAGGCACTCTTCTGTGTCACTTATGCACCCCTTTTCGTGTCTTCACGTACCCTTCCGTGTCTTTGACGCACTCTTCTATATCTGTCACGCACTCTTTTTTATCTCTTTCATCTCTTCATGTACTCTTTTTTGTCTTTTCATATACTCTTCTGTATCGTTTACGCACTCTTTATATCTGTCGCGCACTCTCTTTCGTCTCTACATGTATTTCATTGCGTCTTTTCATATACTCTTCTGGGTCTTTCGCGCAGTCTCCTGTGCCTATGGGTTTGCCAATCCCGTACGTCTGTCATCTTGGTAACGGGGGGAAAGGAGGTAGATTTGAAATAAGGAATTGGAAGCAAATGGGGAAGGGAAAAAAAAGAAGGAAAAAAAGAAAGAAAAGAAGGGAAAAAAGAAAGAAAAGAAAGAAAAGAAAGAAAAAAAAGAAAGAAAAAAAGAAAGAAAAAAAAAGAAAAGAAAAAAAGAAGGAAAAAAGAAAGAAAAAAGAAAGAAAAACAAACAAACAAAAGGATGTGGGAAATGGAGAGAGAGAGGCATTTGTCAGGCGAGCAAGCTTCCACGAACCGAGCCAAAGGTATTTTTACGCAACAAGTACGTATCCACCATTTCTCTCACATTACTTGGATTCCAGCAGTGTTCACGTATTCTGATATTTGGAGAAGGAAATTGGCTTTCAGAGCTCACATGAATGCTGCTCCTCATCGCCACAAAACGCGCGCGCGCACACGCGCACACACACACAATACTCACGCACAAAATCAAACACAAACGCCCAGAGTTTTCCGCTGGCTCAAGAATTATCACTATCACTACCACTACGCGAAGGCCACTATATCTCCAACTGCGCAGCCAAGCTCTCCCAGAAAGCACACCGGCTCATCTGAGCTTGCGGGACAGATTCAACTACCGTGTTGTTGTTGTTGATCACAAGCCTCTGTCCTCCTGCCTGTCCGTTCCACTGAGGCCATGATGTTGAGCCAGAAAACGCAAACGTGTTTGGGTTCAGCGACCGGACGAAGGATATGTAGTATCCTTGCAAACGAGCCACGTTGGTCTGATCGGAGTTGTCGTAACCACCTCCAAAAACTGCGCCAAGATCAAACCCGTGAGGGACACCGACTCCGCTTGCAATGTTGCTTTGAGTCAAGACATTGAAGCGGTATGTCCAGATTGGTTGCCCAGCCTGTATGAAATATTTCCCAAAGTTGAGTCCGTGGCAAGTGACGAGTACGTCTCCGTACGCGAGCTCAGCAGCTGGGAACCAGGCTGCATGATTGTTGAACGGTGGCTCTATGTTCTGTGGATACTGCTGGATGATTGCAGACGTGTTCTGGCTGGTCAAGCGAGGATAATTGTTCAGGAAGAAAGTCTGAATATCGCTGGACGATGCCGCGTTGGGGGCACCCAAGGTCGTCCCTTCATCTGTGACGCTTCCGAAAAACATGGGAACCTTGACGAACTTGCCCGCTTGGAAGGCCTCGTATGAACCGGTTTGCAGGAACACGCCGTCAACGCATGGCACATACGGGTAATTCGGGGCATTTGGCCGGCCGGGATAGACGATGGGTACGTTGAACCGCTGCAAGGCTGTGGTGCTGAGGCCACGAAGACAAGAGAGTGAATCAGAGCTGGAGCTGCATCCCGCATTGCTGACGAGAGCGTCGTACTGGAATTGAATCTCTGACACCTTGGGCTGGATGATTTCAGGAAGAGATTCAAACATGGCCCCTACGAAAAGGCCTTGGTTTTTACCGCCAAAAGAAACAAGTTGCAATGACGCTGCTTCTGCACCAGCACTCTGTCCATGGATGATAACATGAGTCGGGTCACCACCAAACTGAGCAATATGCTGTTGTACCCATTGCAGGGCAGCTTGCTGGTCATACAGGCCGGCATTCGCTACTCCGTTGGCCTGGATCTGCGAACTGGCGAGGAAGCCAAAGATTCCCACTCGATAGTTCAGCGTCACCAAGACAATGTTGTTTCCCGAGTTGGCTACCGCTCCACTGCCGTCTGTTCCTGCCGAAGCCAAGCTCTCAAACCCTCCACCTTGGATGAAAACCCACACGGGGAGCTTAGAGTTGGGCCCAGCACCTGAAGGTGCCCAAACATTGACGAAGAGGCAGTCTTCGCTCTGGCCCGACGGCGATGGCCCGGCATTGGTGGCCATACAAACATTTCCAAACTAGGCACGACAAGGAAGAAAGAGCGTCAGTGATGGGGAAGGCAGAGATGCTGGGTGGAGAAACATACCTGTGTGGCCTGTTGGACTCCAGTCACTGTAGGAGGAGCCGTTGGAGCTTTCCATCTCAAATTTCCTGACGGAGCTGCGGCATATCTCATACCCAGGAACCTGTTGATCCCACCAGATGTCGTGCCTTGATAGGTGGCATATCCCAAGTTTACTGTTGGCGACTGTGCGCTCACAGCAGCCCCAGAGCACAATAACGTGCAAGCCAACTTGAAGGAGATACGCATGTTGACAAGTAACTCCTCCGACCGCGTCTAGTCAATCTTGTTTTTTTCGACACTCTGAATTACAACTCACATTGTTTCTCTGAACCATACTTATACGAGAATACTCCCCCATGCCGGAAGACGCGGGTCGATAATCCCGTCGGGACAGAAGATCGATCGATGCTGACGGCAAAGGGCTTACAGCCCCTGCCAAGAGCTTCTCGAGAACATGACATTGCGATGAAGTTTACCACACGATTCATCTCATGATTACCTTTGAACCCCGCATTCGAGCTCTGCTCTGGAGTTGGGGCAGTACCACTTGCCTGTCTCTTCCAAGTTGAAACAGTGTCGGCTAAAGTCCTATTCGCCGACGGATGGCATAACGACCCATAGCTGCGGGAGAATCTTTGACTACCGGTGTCAAGCAGGGGATCATTCCTGTTTGTAGGCCTGCTAACGTGGGAGTTTATGCGGGCAGATTTGCTGACAATACACCGATGCGAGTTGGGAACTTGATGGATGGCTACTCTTTCGCAACTTGCGATTGTAGGGGCACTGATTAGTTTGAGTGTTTCGAGGACAGGAGCCATGCTATAACCTCCAATTCAGAAGGAAACGGACCAGTCACTCCGGTGCTCCTATTCAGGGCAAGCCATTGTCAGAAATCCACTCGATCTCGATACCCGACATACGACTATACTTGAGTGAGCTGTAGGTTTGATTCTGACGAATATGGGAGGCATACGCGCTAATCATTTTTGCAGTATCATCTAGTGGGAAAAATCAAGGCAATTACTCCACCATCACGCTGCAATACGATGCGGCTATTATCAAGAATCACAGCATCTCATGCTCTCAGCTTGGGCAGATCGTGGGCGCTGATCGCTTCGTTAGCGCAGGCTAGACGAATGAAGACGCCAACTTTGCCAATGTTTGAACTAGAGCCTCAAGCTCTGCATTCTCGTCATTTTCTATCCTGAAAGTGGCGGCATTCTGGTCTCTGGGAGAGCGAAACAAACATCTGCTCAGTGTCATGTGGAGAATATACCCTTTCTCAATCAGGCAGGTCAAACACGGCCGTTGCTATTGCGGAGTACATACTATTCACCGCGATAATTCGGCCTCTGCATTGCCTTTACGTCATATGCTGTGGTCTTCCTACTGTCAACAGCTTACCAGTGATTGCAACTTACGGGCCCGGTGCTGTGGATACTGAAAAGTGCGACTACGACTATCTTGCAAGCACACGAACCTGTCGGCACCATTTCATGTGCGAGGGACTTTACAGACACGAAGTTTTACCAAGCAATCTTCATGACACTGACTCTCTCTAGCGCTGGCGCAAGAAAATACCTAGTAACCCAGATGCTTGCGAAAGACTTGTCCTCTGCGATATCACGCCCAACAATGCCATATACTCGGCAACTCGGAGGGCTGTGTACTTTTTCCAGACCTCAGCCGAGACACCCTATTGAATGGGGGGGAAAAACATGAAAAGGCTCAAGATCACGAGAGCTTCTATCGATGAGACTCAAAAATCCTGGACACCCGTCTCTCCTAAGCGAACGGGAAACTGCTCTTCCCCATCTACCCAGCTGGGCTCTTCGTCATCGAACCAGGCATCCTCGGCGTCCTGAACCGCCATGGTGTCGTACTTATAATTGTCATCAACCTTGTCATAGTCGAAGTCTTCATCTTGTCCCTCCACAAAGCGGACTTCGAGGTACGCGTGCCAAAGCTGCTTGCCGTGCTCTTTATCCTCTGCTTCGGCGTCCCATGCGTTGGTGCCGGCGCCTCCGTCGCCTAACACTTTTGAATCTTGTGGTGTTCGGCTACCTTGTTCTCGTTCTGGATAGAGGTTTGAGAGATTTGTCTCGCCTCTGACGAGATCTGCTTCGAGAGTGCGACTATAGCCCTTGGCTTTTCCTTCTGCCTCTCGTTCGGCTGGAGTTTGAAATCTCTTGACAAGACGCTCATACAGAACAGGATCTACATGATACCGCAATGGTTGGTTTTCAGGTCAAGTCAAGTTCGCAAAGGGACGGTGAGCCCTCTCTCGAGGCTATAGGATCGTCGACGTGATCCATCAGCCGATAACAGGAGAGGGATGGAAGAATGAGATGCAATGTCATACCAGCAAGTTCATGTTCCAGATTGTCAAAATACGACGGGGTTTTCACCAGGTACTCGTGGCGGCGATTCCGCACCCCAAGGCGCAGGAGCTTAGCGGGCGTCCTGGGGCGTCGGGGAGAAGGCCTATCCAGTGCCAGGACCAAATCACGACCCTGGTCATCAGGAATGGTGTCCGTCAGGGATGGCCGAGAGGGCGATGGCAACAGCGCTGGCATGGTGACGGCGCTCTGTGACCAGAGGACAGACGGGGCTTGCTGCACCGCGACTAGCCACGGGAGGTGCGGATGCTAGCACTGGCTGGCGGCGTGCTCGTATGTGAGACAGCGAGGCTGCAGAGTTCCAGGGCCAGGGCCAGGTTCGTTGGATACAAGACAGAAGAGACAACTCATGGCACGGCAAGACAAGCTTGGCCGTGAGCAGGTTGGAGAGCTTGTGTGCTGGCAATTCCCATGCAATGCAGGTACAAGAAGAGCTCGGGTGGGGGCCACGGAATTGTTGCACCGGCTCCGCTTTTCTCGCAATTCACCTCCATCAATCAAGGCCCGATCCCTGGAGCAGCTCAGCTCGTGCAGGATCTGGGGGGCTTTTGGGGGGCGAATGACACGCCGGCAGTCAGAGCGCCAGTACCAGTACCAGTACCAGTGCCAGTACCAGCCAGTGCCAGCCCAGAACCATTCCCACGGGCACTTGCGCGAGCATTCGGTGCTACCCGACAGCTTAGGGCACCGGGCTGCTATACTTGCCTTAGTAGTTGTCCAAGGTACATGTGTTGATTCGATCTTTGATTCATCAATTTCCCGGCGTTGTGGGCCGGATACAGAGAGAGGCCCCAATTCACATTCACTGCCGGAGAAACAAATGAGGATCCGTGTCCATTTACAGCTCTTGTGCTTATACTATACAGCGTCGAGTTTACTGTAGCTTCGCAGCCAGTTGCGCTGCTAGCCAGTCCCAGTCCCACGAAGGAGCTGCTGTGGAGATGAGTACCCTGCTGGCGCCTAGCCTAGACACACTCTATTCCGACTTGACAGCCGCCCGGGCAAGATGATCGTGCCCCTCCTCGTCCCACGGGCCAAGATTTTCAAGTTGGCACCCATCGGATTGCTTCCCCTCTTCATTCACTCGTTGTCTACAGGGTAGCTAGCCTAGCTTGCTTTGAACAAGATGGAACAAGGACGAAATCGACGACGGGGGAAAAGACGAAGCAGGAGAAGAGAGGAAATTCAACAACACAAACAGGGAAGGGGGGGGGGGGGGGGGGGAAGGGATGAAGGAGAAGAGGAAGAAGAGGAAGAAGAATGACTGACGTGCAAACTCAGCTTACAGCATAATGAGCATGCAATGTTTGATGTTGCAAACAGTGGTCGGCCTAAGCGAGGACATGTGCCCTTGACGGTGGCGATGTTGAAAGCTTGACGCGGTACCAGTACAAGCAAATCTTCTGAAGCCGCAGTCAAAGATGCATCAGATTGAGACTTGTGGCTGACTGAACACTTCGATAATTGTGATGCATCACATTGTCGTCCGCCTGCCACTTGGTTATTGACATGTCAGCGACTGTGCGGGTTTTGTTCGCCGGCCTGGGTTCAATGTTTGCCCTACTACAGCGTACAGGCCTAAGCACATGGACTCGTATGCGAGTCCACGCACTTGTGCTCAAGAGCCGTGAGATATGCAGCGCTTCGTGCACGCGGCGAGACAAAAAGACCTCGAGTCTGGCACTTGCTAATTCAATGCCACGGCTGGTGAGTTGGGCAAATGGCAACAGGACAAGCCAACCTCGCAAGTCCGCATTCTCGTACGATAGCTGCAGCAGTAGCCCATGCGTGCACCAACGCCCGCCCAGCTCGAGCCAAACCGTGGCGCCTGTTGTGACACGCACAGCCGATTCACATGTGAGGGGGGGGGGTAGCTGTCTAGAGATGGCTTAACACACGCAGGATCTATGATGCCCCCCTTAAGCTGATCCCTAGGTGATGGCCGGCTGCTGTGCATGTCTGGCACTTCCCTGTTGAGCCTCTTGCGCGCACGCTTCATGCAGCAGAGCAGGACTTACGGGGCAGGTTGGCTGCGTTGCAACCACATATTTGACAGGGCTCAACGAATTGGCGTCAATCACGAAGCGGCAAATAGAGCGCCCCCCCTCTCTCACTCTCGTATACCTACTCAGAACTGTACCTCCGGCCATCATGCCTGTAGTCTGTACAGGCGGGCGGAACTGCTAGCAGCAACACAGCGCACCGGTAGGGAATGGCTGTCTGGTCTGCTTTTCGATTCCCCCAGGTCTCTCTGCGGAGTAACACAACACGTGCATGGCTGTTTCACCAAAGGCTCGGATCCGTGAGGGTGCTTGCTTGTGCTTGGTGATTTGATGCATAAACAAGCTACCAGTTTGAAACCCGACTCTTAATGCTCAGCTCCCAAGGAGCTATACTACGCCTGTACTTGTACTCCCGTCGTACAGTACTAAACGAATCCCTACAACCCATGTGGCATGGGGGGGACCCATGAAGAGAAAAAAAGGGCCAACCTACAAGTACATAATGAAACAGGATGGAAAACAAAACATCGACCCGGGCATCGAGCATCAACCCAGAATCGAGATTCCACGTTTCATGCGCGAAACCAGATGTTTAGCGGACATGGATTGTGGAATCTGGAGCGTCAACCAAAGCCAGCACTAAACTGCTGGTGCAGCGCCACCATTCGGAGCCTCCCCTCTTTGTCGCCCAAATCCCTGGCTGTTTTTGGTTTGCAGCGCGGATGATTGCCCCCGGTGCATCCGCTTAGGACGCCTATCAGAGACCCTCCGGCAGCCTCAACTGTTCTCCCCTTCCAGGTTCTCATCTAGACCCTCACCCCCCCTGTAGCTACCTAGGTTGTGCTGGACGGTAGCCTCAGCGGCTGTCGATAAAGGAGTGGCCACCTGAGCTAGCATCAAAGAACGTCCATGTGGCAAAGAGAGCTGGCAGAGCGGTCGGAATGGGGACGTCCATTGATTGCCACCTCGTCGTCTTCGCCCTCCCAATTCGTTTTGTTACATGGAGGCTATCACAGAAGGCACTTCCAGCATGCTCTCGCGTACAGTACTGCCCGTACTCGTACAGACACATGCACCGAATAGGGAGCACGATGCTACTAATGCTGCTACTGCGGAGCATCAGAGACGGTGCTAGCTTGAGCACATCTCGCGAACATGGCCTTGGAGCATGGGTGAGAGGAGCTTGGGCTTGGGGGATCGAGAAAAAAAAAAGGGTCGCTCCATACTATTTGATGCGAGTCAAGGTGACGGCCCTCCCCTACAAGGATGAGGACAAATTTGCCCGGGCCACGGCGGTCCATGCTGTACTCAAACGGTTGTATTGATCAAGCTACTAATGCATCATGCTTGAACACCACGACAATGTATGTACAATTGAGCATTATTGATTGCACCTGCACTCGTCAATGCTACAATACATGCCATGCCCGCACAAACGGGTATCAAATCAAATCACACCTGCGGGCTACCCTGCCTGGATTTCGGCCGTCCATCCATCCCATCCATCCATGCCAGCATTAACTCTGCAGTCCCCTGTCGGCGCCCCGTAGGTACCGGTACCTCTGCTTGCAGTGCAGTGGACTGGGCCCCAAGAGGGCTGCAGCCCATTTGGCTTGGTTCCGTTTGGCTCGACTTGCTTTCTGGCAAGGCAAGGCAGAGCAGAGCAAGAACCAAAAAGCAAGGCGAGGCCTCGTCAACGTCTGGCAGTGCGAGTACTCCCGCACAGGTACCTTCCTTCTGACTGGAGCCCATCACTCGCATGATACTAAACTGATTCATCTGCTCGCCTCGCCTCACCTCGCCTCCTTCAACCCCAAACAACCACGAGAGCAGGAGCAACGAGTCCAAGCGCCCAAATACGACTGATCATGCGAGCTGCATGCGCGGTCGTGATGCCCTAAGGGTCGGCGGATTATCACTCTCCATCTCGATTCTCCTTCTCTCGCCTTCTCTCGACTTCGGAAGCCTCTTGTTCTTTTTCCGTTCCTTTCCTCTTCACCCGCTCACTGACTTGTCGTCTCACTTTGGCATTCGTTCTTTTTTCTTTTCTTTCCCCCCCTTTCCTCTCGCTGTCTACCGGCCTGTCGGCCTTCACTTAATCTATTCTCGGTGCTGGCGGTCCTGTCGTCTTCCTCTCAGCCCGACTGGTCCCTTGCCGTCTCTATCTCTCGGATAATCTCCAAGACTCATCAGATCCCGACTCTTTAATCTCCGCCCCCCATCAGCCTCATTTTCAATCCCCCTTGTCCGTCTTGCATGGCACTCATCTTGGTTGCGCCTGATCCTGCTGCCGCTCCCGCTTCTGCTTCAGGGCAGCAAACGAGGCTGAAGGAGGATGGCGCCGGACATTGCTAACAAGCTCAAGGCAACGCTGTTCAGGCGGCGGCGGCGCCAGTCCGAGGTGTCGGCTCTAGGTGATGAGGGCGACTCTTCCTCGCCGCCCACGACGCCCGGCATCGTCAGCCAGAGGAGGCCCTCGTTTCCATTCCCACGTGAGCCCTCATCCCAGACACTGACGCTGTCTCTGGAGCTGATGACGGGGGACGGAGAAGCAGGAATAGGAGGCTGCGGCGGCGGTGACGATAACAGCGACGCTGGTGACTCTGCCCTGACAAGCAACGACGCTGAACAACAGCGCACGAGGCAGCATTGGAGAATGTGGCAGAAGCCCAAGCAGGCTGCCGACGTTGAGAAGCGAAGAAGCGTCCCTGACAACGCGGCTTTCCATCTATCGCCAGTCTCGCCGGTATCACCAACATCCCAGGTACCAGTAGCGCCAACGGAAGCAATCACGCCGCAGCTGTCCAGGCATGCCCAGGGCTACTTCGACAGCATTGGGGAGGAAAAGGGGGCTGACGACGACGAACAATACGGCCAACAACAGCATCACGGCGTCGACACGGAGGCAGCAGCTGCTACGTTTGATTCTGCTCTTGATCCCGCCTCCCCCGCTGCCATCAGCAATCTCCAGCGCCATGCCTTGACAGGAGAGCTCATGGTACAGGCACTCCCAGCGCTAGACCAACGGCAACCACAGCGCCCGCACCAGCTCCCGGCCTCGGCAGGGACCCGCGTTCAGGGTCAGAGCCCGCGCCGAAGCCTAAACAGTGAAGAAGCGAGCCGCTACGAGACGGACCAGAGCCAGCTCGACGGACAAGGTATGGCGGTTATTAACAGCGACCAGGGAACTATTGCTGGCACCACGGACGCTGCTAGTGCTAGTCCTCGTATTACCGCCGCCGACGCTGGCGGTACAGGTACAACGAGCACAGGCACAGGCGGCGCCGTGGTTTCTGCTGGCGGCCCCATTCCTGGCGGCGATCTGCAGCAGAATCAGAAACAGCAGCAGAGACAGGTGCAGAAACGCCCACGCCAGCCAGCGCCACCGTTTTCGCTTCCATCTCCTCCTTTGCCAACTCCTTCGGCGCTGCTGACTTTTCCTCCTCTCGCCCCCCCGACGCCCGGCCCAAGCATCTTGCCTAGCATTCCCAGCCTGCCCAGCCTCGACAGCATCGACGAGGACGAGTCGCAATCGCCCTCGCCTTCGCAATCGCAACCGCGATCCACGTACCCGCAGCCCTCGTCCCAACAACAGGCCGCCTCCGCCTCGCCGGCAGCTGCTGAGCACGTTGCTGCCACCGGCCGCGGCATCGACGCTCCGCCCACACCCGGCGCCGGCCATGGCCCGCTGAATCTTACTTCCGCGTCACCTCTGTCAACCAAGCCGCCGCCTGCGTCTACTACCACTGCTCTTGCTCGAGTCGAAGCTGCCGCAGCCGAAGCCCAAGTTGAAGCCGGGCTTCCATTGACCAAGTCGTCGCCAGCGTCCGTGCTGCCTAGTGCCGCCCCGAATTCCTCCCAAGACTCGTCTGCCGCCGCCCGCACGTCCACGCGCCCGCCCGCGCCGCCTCGTCGAGCCAGCCGTGACCCAAACCAAACCGTTACCTTTGACGAGTCGGCCGACAAGTCTGCAGCCGCCAACAACAGCAGCAGCAGCCGCGACGCACTCATCGCGACTGCCTTTCCCAACGCCAACGCCGGCGCCAACGTCATCGGAACCCTAGGCGCCGAAGCCCCTCCTGCCGTTTCCGTGGCCTCTTCCAAAAACCTTGGCCCTGCTCCTCTTTCTTCCTCGACAATTCCCTCTGCACCATCCATCATTGCTCATCGCCACGACGACCTGATCGGATACTCATCTTCGATTGACGACATTGCAGACCTCGGCGATTTCGATGCAAGCAGCATGGCTGAACAAATCCCAACCAAGATCTGGGTCATGAGACCCAAGGCCTCGGCCACCCAAATCCGCATCCGCCCCGGCGACCTTGTTGACGATGTGCGCGACGAGATTCTGCGCAAGTATGGCAACTCGCTAGGCAAGACATTCGACTCACCCGACCTCACTCTTCGCATTCAGGCCGGCGAAGAGACGCAAAACAACCAGCGCAGCCGAACCTTGGGCCCCGAGGAAGACATGATCAAAACTCTCAACGCATACTACCCCTCAGGCCAGACCGTCAAGGACGCTCTCGTCATTGAGATTCCCCGGGCCTCGACAACGCCCAAGCCGTCTCCGCGGGCTCCTCTTCCCCATCCCGGCTCTGTCTACTATGGCGGCGACGATGGGCGCCCATCCGAGACGGGCGAAGGCTACTTCCCCCCGGTGGCTGGAAACACGTCGTCGCCTCGCCTCGCCGTGTCCGTCCCCACGCAAGCCAACGGATCCATGCCCCATTCTATGACCGTCATCAGCTCGGGCCACCTCCCTCCCATTCCTCCCCTTCCTTCTCCCGGCGGCAACAGGCCCCGCGCGCACAGGGACCGCGATCCGCGTCACGACCGCCAAGATTACTCGCGGACTGGAAGAACTCATACGCCTTCGCCAAACCTGCATAATGGAGGAGGGAGTGGTGCTGGCGCTGGCGGCGGCAGCAGCAGTGCCATGCCAAACTCGACGTCTTCGACTGCTGCCAATGCTCATGGTGCACCGCATTATCGCTCGCGGCACTCGCATTCGCGAACGCATTCGAGCTCCTCAGAGCACGTCGTGACGCATTCGGGCTCCATGGCAAAGTCACCGGGCCATGAGATGACGTCGTCGGCTCGCATGGGAACTCCTCCTCCCCAGCGACTGTCGTCTCCTCGCTTGCCCAGCTCACGACCCAAGAAGAGCAAGAGGAACTCGCAGCAACAACAGCAGCAGCAGGAGTACCACCACACCCCCTCGCCATCCGTCCTGACCGCCACCGTGCCTCCGATCAACGTACTCATTGTTGAAGATAACCCAATCAACCTGAAACTGCTCGAGGCCTTTGTTAAGCGGCTCAAGGTACGATGGTCAACGGCCATGAATGGCCGAGATGCCGTTAAGAAATGGAGAAACGGTGGCTTCCACTTGGTCCTCATGGACATTCAGCTACCTGGTATGAACGGACTGGAGGCCACGAGAGAGATTCGCCGGCTGGAAAGGATCAACAACATTGGTGTCTTCTCCAACGCCCCCACCGGAATTCCCGAGACCACGCAGGCCGAAGAGCTCACCGAGCAAGATCGCTTGGAGGGCATCGGCCAGTTCAAGAGTCCTGTTATCATCGTTGCTCTCACGGCCAGTTCTCTCCAGAGCGACCGACACGAGGCTCTTGCCTCGGGCTGCAACGACTTTCTGACAAAGGTATGTATCCTGATTTAACTGACGCACTCACGCGCGTGATTGATCCTCTGTAAAAAGAACGTGACGCTGACTTAGTTTTGCAAAGCCTGTCAACTTTGTCTGGCTGGAGCGTAAGGTGATGGAATGGGGCTGTATGCAGGCGCTCATCGACTTTGAAGGTTGGCGCAAGTGGAAGGACCTCTCAGCCAAGGCCGAAGCGATTGAGGCTGCCAGCCAGCGAGCAAAGGCACAAGCTTACAAAAACAAGACGAAAAAGAACCGGCCGATCATGTCGGCGTCGTAAACGAAAGGTTATTCACCGGAGTCTAGGACTTTTATTTTTCTTTTCTTTTTTGAAACGGCTTTCATATTGGGCGAGGGGCAACCCGCAACACTAAGGGGGAGGGAAGAGGGATTCAAATACATGGAAAAAATGGTCTTCAGGAGGATGGATCTAGCGCTGATTTGCTGACCCGTTTCAAGCTCCTTTGCTTCTGAACGGATGATGATTTTGTTTTCTTATCTTTTGTTTTCTTTGTTCTCTTGTTTCGACAAGAGCTACTTCTACGCATCGCATCAAGGTATGGCGGCGAGCATGCTGAGTACTATATATATATATACGCATTTTGCGTCGGTCCCACCTGATTGGTGGCAGGCTTAATATACATGGGATATCTGTCTCCCGGGCTTCTGTGCTTTGAATTTGGTGACATGTTGCCCTTTGAATCAAGTCTGGATGGCTTCCAACTTGAGTATTCTTTCATTCTTTTGCTGCCGCCGGAGCAATGTCGAGCTGTGCCGCCGGAGACGGCTAGCGCTTATTAGGTAATACGTTGCCTTGCATTCAAGCGTGCGTGCGCCAATGGCCTTCCTGATGCCCCTCCCTCCGGAAGCGGGAGAACAAGATACCGAGACGGAAAATTTGTGGCCAAGCTTGGCTTTTCTTGATAACTCTCCCACCAGCTCTGCTCACAAGACATGACGACCAAAAAAAGCCTCGACGACCTTTGAGCCATTGACTCGATTCGCAATGAGCAGCTGATCTAGCCGAATCAATTTGCACCTACATTTTGAGGAGTGCACACACAGAATAGACATGGCTCCCAGACTATCTGCGGCTTCCATGCCGCTGGCCCCCGTGGTCGATGCGTGTCTGGTCCAATCCTGCAAATCAAAATCTGCGCCATTCGTGCGGAGCTTCAGCTCGACCCCGTGTCAGCAGAAGATGAGCCGGGCTCGACAGCAGATGTACCAATGGCTCAAGGGCAGGGAAGGTTCAGAGTTTGCCGACCCCGGAGGAGGCCCCAGGTATCTAGGGCCGCTGCAGGACCAGCCGTTTCCTCTAAATCCTCTCTTTCGAAGCCAGCCGGTGCTGGATGAGCACACGAGGGAGCTGATCTGGGACAAGGTCATGGGGAGGGGGGAGTCACTAAAGGCCGTTTCAGCAGAGATGGGCGTCGATGTCAGGCGGGTAGCGGCCGTTGTGAGGCTGAAGGAGGTTGAGAAGCAATGGCAGAGAGAGGTGAGCTTTGCAAATTTCCTTGCCCCCGGTTCCTTCTTGACAGCCGTTCCCCCTATTCTTTCTCCCGAGCGAGACAGACAGAGAGTTGTGCGCACTTTACATGATGAGACAATTTCCAAAAATTCGATTAGTCTTGAAGACTTATTCCCATGGTTAAAAAACGATTATATTTGTTCTGACAACACGCCAACCTCTGCATCTCTTTTATTTCCTTTTACTTCGTTAGCAATGCTCTATTGTGTCATGTACAACTGTGCTGACTGGTCAAATGAAAAAACAGGGCAAGAAGCTGGCAATTCCCTATGCCAAAGCTGTCATGAGCATGCTGCCCAAGACTTTTTACCGGGAGGGCGAGAAGAATCTGCCACACGAGCCCGTCAATGAGATTCACGTCCACAAGTTGACAATGCAGCAGCTCTTCGTGCCAGTATCAGAGTCACGTCACTTCACCCGAGAAGACGCGGCCAAGGCCTTCCACGACACCATGCTGTCTGTTGATGCACGGTCACCACAGCCTGAGCTCATCAACATGGAGCGGGAGATTCTAGAGGGCAAGACCCGGCAAGAAAGCCTGGCCAAATTCAAGGAGGCGACGCAGAAGGAGGAGGACAAGGTGGCGAGGCGCATCGCACAGGAGCAGCAGCGAGAAGAGAAGGCGACAACGAGAGTAACAACGGACCGCTACGAGTTCCGGTTCAAGGAAATCAACGCGGACGATGTGGGACGAAATGGACGGTCAAGAAAGGGCACTGGCTGGAGATATGGAGCGCCGTTTGATGATCGCAAGCGTGGTCTGGTCAAAATTCCCACGTCTGTGCCGTAGGATCTGGGACTGTAGGCTTTGCGTGATTGACATGACAGGTGGGGGGGGGGGGGGGGGGTAGCATTGAAATGACTTTGAAACGACTTTGAAAGAAGATAGGTTTGATCAGACGAGAGATCAGACGAAGCTGTATTACTAACATGCATACATGTACGCATACACCACACGAGCCATGTATAATAACCAATGTATTATCAGGTAGTACCTACATACTATAGTATATACATATATATCCAACACAAAACACGCTATTCATCATGACACGTCTAATTCATTTGTCGATACAACAGGATCAACGTCTATGGTGCAGAATGGCAATACAAGCCTACATGTACCTAGTTGGCGACCAGGAGCTTCTGTCGAATACGAGCAATGGCCTCGGGCGGGAGTTTACACTCGTCAACGACGTACTCCTCAACAGAGCCCCATTCCTCACGGATCATGGCAAGCGTAGCCATCATGCTCTCGGGCCTGTTGTGCAATTGTCAGTGTTTCACCTACAAAAAAGGGGATCGATGGAAAGAAGAATAGAGAGAAAAAAAACAAGGGCTCACGCTGAACTCAGCATCCTCTCGGCACCATCTGGGTCTCCCTCAAAAGCCGGCATTGCCATCAACCGCTTCACAAGTGTGGGCTTCGTATCCTTCAGCCCTTGGGTGGTAAGACCGTACTCCCTTGCCACATCCTCGTCTGGGATGTTGCACAGGCTCAATATCAAGGCGCACAAGATGCCTGTGCGATCCTTGCCCGCGGTGCAGTGTACAAGGATGGGTCTCTCCGCGGACGCATCCCACTCGTCGGAAGAGAGGTACGTCAGCACGGTGGCAAACGCCGGCGCGCCGGATTTCAGGATGGAGCGGTAGGCGTTTACGAAACCGAGGACGGGATGGGTCGAGGCGTACTGGTGGAAGCGGAGGGCGACCGCCTCGGGGCCGTAGTCGGCGTCGGCGAAGACGGGGGCGTGGACGCGGCGCGGGCCCCCGGGCCACTGCTCGGCAAACGCGCAATCGGAGACGTGGGAGGAGTGGGAGACCTCGAGGCCCGAGCGGAGGTCGAAGACGGTGTCGATGTTGAGGGCGTCGAGCTCGGGGGATGGCGAGGTCGGGGGCGCGGCGGAGCGGAGGACGAGGCGGGAGCGGAAGAGGGACGGCGAGGCAATGGAGATGTCTCTGAGGTTGGCGATGGGAGGCTTGGACATGACGGGCAGGGTTGTGTAGCTTGTGTGGTGTGGTTGAGAGCTGTTTTTGGGAGGATTTTTGGAGCTGGGATTGGTGGTGGTGGTGGTGGTGGTGGTGGTGATGATGATGATGCTCAGAGCTTCGGGTGGCTTTTTGGGCGCACAAGTAATTTACGGAAAAGACTACCTGTACTTGGTCTGCTGCTCAGAGTTGCACAGGTTATATGTTTGCCGGCGCCTTGATTTGTCTCTGCCGATATCTGGTGGTGGTTCAGGCGCAAGCTGGGTGTAAGAGGTTGAGTGCCGTACCTCGGCTCATGTCCTCATCATCATCATCAGCCCATCTCGGTAGGTGGTGATGGCCGGTTCAAGTTTCTGCCGGCAGTTTTTTTTTTTT